GGGCGCCGGAGAAACGCCAAGCGCGTCCACTGTACAGGCGCGTAGAAGATCGCCATGAAGGCGAACACCTGTCTCAAGTAGCGACTCTGTCGCGTCTCTGTATCTTTTCCATGGCGCAGCAGCAGCCAATACAGACCCATAAGGGCGTAAGCCACGTTGATCAGGCAGTTGCATGGCATTGCCAGGAAGGAGGGCAGAGAGTCCACCCGAGGCTCAGCATAGTGGTCGTAGGACAAATCCACTGCCACCGCGTGGAACAGGCTGGTGTTTGCCACTATCACGCAGAAAAGAAAGGGCAACGACACATGGAGGAAAGCCCGCTTCATTACTGCTGCCAATGTAGTACTCTCGTAAAAAGCAAACAAGTACTGCTGTTTATATTCCGGGTTTCTGGATGACGCCATCGGTTGAGAACGCCTAGGATTGGCCTCTTCTCCTTTTGCTCCGCCCTTCACCAAACTTCATAATAAACAACAGTTTGCAGAAAAATCATAGATTTTCGCTTTTATAATATGTGCTGCATTGGGTGACATTTTTACATCCCCTCTGGTTTCAGAAGTAAATGTGAATGTAAAGAAAATAAGTAAAGTGTTAGCCTACACTCTGAGAGAACAGATATTCACAGGGATTTTCTGTGTAGCCTCAAATAATGTGCTACCACCCAGATTGTTGCTGTGTTTCGATCTTGTAAGTATCCTCAGGCAGGTCCAACAATAGAGCAAAATAACCAACTGGAAAAGTATTCAAGAAAAATACAACGCAAAGTCATTAAGAACTTAGAAATACTTCTAAGTTGTTTACGTTTTTTATGCCTGTCTGTAAAGCAGGTCTCAACAGCACCCTGTATAAAAATGATGTACAGAGAAAGACCCAACTGTTTTCACCATGAGCATTTGTTTGGTTAGAAGAGTAGCTTGTCATATTCTGACCCCAAGTGGTCAAAACAAGGAACTGCTTCCTCTATGGGAGATTTGTCATTCTCCAAATGTTGGTCATCTTTTGTTTTACTTTATCAGACTTTCAATTGATCTCACTGTCAACTCAGAGGGATAGGGCAGTGGGATATTTACAATGAACCTGTTAAAGACTTTAAAATCTTGTCCACGCGTGTCAAATGAAGCTATAATCAATATTTCATAATCATTCAAACTCAAATATTGGTGGACAATCTGAGTTCGAAATTATTCTGATCCAAATCTCAGCCCATCATCCCTCCCTGTGATTATTTCCAGGATAAAATGAATTAACCCCAGGCTGGCTTCTTAAAAGTGAACAAATATAAAAATTAGGCAAATAAACCGCTATGTCACTTGTTAAATATCATTAATCCATTCTGCTTACTCGCCTAGCAGAGTGGCGCAGCGGAAGCGTGCTGGGCCCATAACCCAGAGGTCGATGGATCGAAACCATCCTCTGCTAGAACCTTTTAAATCCTATTATTTTAAAATCCCCATATTGGATGTTAGTGTAGGACGAATCGACGACTCAAAGTACTTAAGTACGTAGGATCATTTAGCACTCTGTAGGCTAGCAATAGTGATTTAAATTGAATGCGGACAGCTACAGTCGTACCACACATTTCTAACGGCAGACAAAGTCGTGACGTACCAACGCTTCCGGCACACGCACAGTCCGCCTCCTAAATCGTCCGCTGTTCTGGTTCAGAAGGCCAAACAGGGATATTTCGGTGAGTCTAATATTCATTTAATGTGTCGAACGTCGCATTTTTTCGGAACCTCCTTAAGGCAGCTAAATTACTTAACCGTAAACGGCCCGCGTGTGCTCTTTTAGCAATTACAATCATTACATAATTCAGCAGAATCAAGCTTTATGCTAAAGTCCTTGACAGTGCGTGTGTGTACTGCTAATCTGTGTTAGCTTAGTTTAGCTACAAACACTTCACCACGTAAAAGGAAAGTCATCTAGCGTTTAAATAAATGTTCTAATGTACATACGAATTAAGATTACAATATGACATAGCATATACCAATAATCAATAACTCGAGGTTTACGTACACAAAAGCCAATAAAATAACTCAGCCACTGCAGTAATGTTGAAACAAATCAACAATGTACCTGTGTATGTTATGAATGACTTTGATATATGATGCCCAAATGTAGCATTGTTGGCTCCAAAAATTGTTGTTGTTGAAAGTTTTACTTACTTTCATTCAGGTTAGAGAATGCAGAAAATGTATTAAATGACTTTATACAAATGTGTGTTTACAAAGACCAGTTACTATTTGTATTATACAAAAGAGATGGGTGAATATCTAAAACGTTTTAAATGCGTCTTAGATGTGAATGTAATGTTATCTGCATTATCCAGATTGTCAGAGTCAGTCAGGGATGTAACAATACCTTTTATTATATTCTTTGTGTTTGGTTCTATGTTTCAGCAGCAATATTGTCATGGCTGCTACGCTGCGCTTACTTTACTGTGCATCAAGGCCAGGTAAGAGAAAAAAAACCTGCTTACCTTAATTTTTTTTTTTTTTTTGCTTTGACCAAATCTTGTTATTTCTGACTGTCAAATGTAAATTATTTTTGTTTAAGTCACTTCGATAAGCAGTCACAATTTGATGAGATGCTTCAGCATTTCTGCACCAAGAGCTGGATTCAGTGAGTGTCTGACCATGACATAGCAATCCATTGTGAATGAATTATAATAAGTTAGAATGAATGAGTTACAAATTCCTGGTTAATCTGACGTCATTGTGAAAATTTTTTTTTTTTTTTAACGTCATTGTGAAAATTGTTTTTTTTTTTTCCCTTTTTTTCCTTGTTTTCTTTTGTGTAGAGTATGTGAACGCTCTGGACGTGCCCATGGACATGAAGTCCATCACTGACCGGAATGCTCAGGCACTCCTTCTTGTTGAGATTGCGAGAGGTTGGCTCGTATTTTCACTCACACTTCATTTTAATTATTTTACTTTTTCTACCTATTTAAAAATTTTAAAAAATTATATACGTATTAATTTCGGTTTTATGTTAATAGCGTGATGTTGGACATAAAATAACAAGCCAGGTTTACATATGGCCACAAGTTTGACTAATTTCCTGGCCTTCAGTTAAAGAAGACAGTGATGTAATTTAGTCTTTTTCACGCTGTTTAATCTGTCTTACATAAATAAATGTAGATCTAGGCATATGACTTATTATAATTATAATATTATATTATATTATTCTGACAAATATCTGTTGGTCCTAGGTATGAGCATGACAATGAGCTACCTCTTTAGAGAACCAGCCACTATAAACTACCCATTTGAGAAGGGTCCACTGTCGCCTCGCTTCAGAGGAGAGCACGCGCTCCGAAGGTAAGAGTGATATACAACCTGACGCTCGCACAGCAGACATGTGCTGGTCTTCTGTCATGACGTAGACATCTGTTAATGTTCTGTGCTCTTTATATATCCTCCTTCTTTACAAATTGCTTCAACACAATGATGGAAACCAATGAAATGTCCGAGCGCCTTTTCTTCTTCTTCCAGCTTCTTATTGTCAGTTATGAGTTGTTGTTTTTTTTATTATTATTAATTTTGCCTAGTCTGACTTGACAGCCAAACTGTAGGAAAAAAAGTTTTTTGGTTAGTGAAACCCCTAACCCATGAAGACCCAGGAAAATGTAATATTTATTGAAAAATGTATGGCAGTTGTGCATGTTTTCCCTTCTGTACAGATATGTAATGTAGAATTTTTCATAAGGAAACAAACTTAAGTTTTGCGTAAACATTGAATCTGGAACGACCATAGCTTAATATTGTAAACACATGAGAAATTAAATTGGAACTAAGACAAACACATCAGTGGTATTTATTTCTCATTATGTCCCTTTATATGTAGACTTTCAAGTTCCTTTTAAATGTAAATCATTTTTTCCACAGGTCAACAACAAAAAAAAACCTAAATGTATGTGCTATAACATAGCGCATACACCTCTAATACCACAAATCCTGCCAGTATATAAGGCCTATACACATTTGATATGATCTCTCGGGCCAAATATAATCACACTGCGGGCCAGATTTGGACCCAAGCCTGATTTTGACATGTGTGCCCTAAATAATAACAGCAATAAATGTTAACCTTACGTTTTGTCACACCAGGTACCCATCAGGGGAAGAACGCTGCATCGCCTGTAAGCTATGTGAAGCCATCTGCCCTGCGCAGGTACAACACATTAAAACAGTATGCAAAAGTTCAAGTTAAGTCCTTGGGGTTTCAGAGGCCATGTCACAGAGGACATGGTTGTTTGAGCTGAGTTGTTCAGCGATGGGAGTTTGAGTTTACTCCGAGTCATGTTCTGCTTTTTTATAATTGAGATTTGAAGTTGCTGAAGAATCATTAGGCATGAAACCCCAGGGTTAAAGTTAAATGAGAGTCACTAAGGAAACCAAACTCGATCTTCATTCACATCCAGGCCATAACCATCGAGGCCGAAACTCGCGCTGATGGAAGCAGGAGAACGACTCGCTACGACATCGACATGACCAAATGCATCTACTGTGGGTTTTGCCAGGAGGCCTGTCCTGTGGACGCCATTGTAGAGGTTGGTGTTTGTCTCTGTGCGTCTCTTGAAATTTGAATAAAGGTAGTACAGTAGGCGTTGTATATAAAACTCTAAAAGAAGAGATTCCGTAACCATTTATGTCATTAGAGCCTACAAATTCACCTACTAATCTACTTATGCTACTAACACTAACCCATCTGTCTACTTCTATTAACTGACTAATCTGCTAATCGTCTTACATTGACTGTTAAGGGTTTCCCATATTCATTGATAGTGTGCTGCTATTCACATTTCTAGGATGCAACTTTAAGGATGCAGAAGTGTAATTTATGTCATTGTTATTAAAATGACAAAAGAAAATTAACACTGCTCTCCAAAATATTTTTTATGGAGTAAACTATGATTAAATCTAGTCTCTCTCTCTCTCTCTCTCTCTATTCCTCTCTCACTTCCACTTTGTCTTTCCTTTCGTACAGGGTCCAAACTTTGAGTTTTCTACTGAGACCCACGAAGAGCTTCTGTACAACAAAGAGAAGCTGCTCAATAATGGAGATAAGTGGGAAGCTGAGATCGCTGCCAATATACAGGCTGATTATTTGTATCGATAGTCATGCACAAACGTTGTACAGTTAACCTACACCAACCATAGACTATATATAAGAGATGGACTAAGCAGTCTGGTTTTAAAAAATGTATCCATCCTGGAGCTACCCCATTTATGACATCAGCAAACAAGTGTTTATGGATCCGGTCACTCGTTTTTGGTCTTCAACAGAACACATGTCAATTTGTAAATAATGGTCATATTGATTGGAAATTGAAATAAGTAAATTGTGCCTGTGATTTGTGGCTGACATCTTGAACTGTCCAACAGGGCCTTGGTTGCAGTCGAACACCATAATGTGCAGGTTTAGGTTTATCTTGGTTTTGGTTTAGCTGGAGAACTTCCTCTTTCAGTTGATGTTGAGAGACAGCACACTTGGCTGACATGTTTCCATTCATTTTCTGATATCGTTTCCCTCTGACATCTTTTATTTATTGTTGGGTGACGCATACAGCGGTGGCTCTGTGTTTAATGAGACCATGTGATTAGTCTCCTTACCAACAAACGTGGGCACTGCTACAACACTGTTTGCAGTAGGTAGTACTCTTCACACAGGATGGATTCCCGTCATTGTTCTGTCCCTGTCCTGTCGGAAATAAAAACAAAATACTGGGAGATGTACTGAATGTGTGTCATCTTTCTCTCTGTGTGTGTGTGTGTGTGTGTTAGCAAGATAAAAAATACAGAAAAAGCAGTGATGTAAGGAGCCACTAACATTTTAAAATAAACCAAGAAAAGAACAGGTGTGCAATGTATGTAGCGCGTGGGTCGAGAACGCCTCCCAGAGCAGCTTGTTGAAGTGAACGGAGTAGCTCGTCGTTAAAGTCCGCCATCTTGGACCGTGACAGCCCAATGATGTCAAAGTCTAGCTAAGTTGTAATATTATAAAAATGATAACAATACACTTTTATGTTTGAATTTTGTTTATTTTTCCAGCATACATTGATTCAAGATTGATGAGAAATACATTATCTTTGCATCAAACCCTTCCGTAAACAGCTGAGGAAAAACAAAATTCTCATTCTAATTTCATGTTCAAGTTGTTGTTCTTGTTAGATATGCGACCGTAAAATCTAAAAACTCGAACTCTTTACCAACTATTACTTTAAAAAGTCACACATGACAGCCCGTTGCCAAGAAAATGCATTCACCACAAACACCAACGACAAACTTTATATGATCACGGGTCTACTCAGGATTGCGATCTGAGACATCCTCTTGTCTTCATTCACCCTCCTGCTGTAGAGAAAAGCACTGGGAAACGAGTCAAAAGAATGTAAAAAAAAAAATCAAAAGAAAAATGAGCAGAAGCAAAAGTAGATTTATGTAATATATAGAGGTTTTGCTACTGGAATTTAAGAGGCACAGCTATAGAAAAACGCTAAAGGTTAGAGGACAAATATTCAATAGTTATATAGACTGGATGAAATTGTGTTTATTATAAGTATAGGCTTAGTTTCGTGTCTTAATGTAACCACCTCTGTGATGTCCTAGATTAGGGATAGGTGGTATGTTCAATCAATTTAATTGTGAGAATGTATATATGTATTTATGTATATGTATATATAAGGTATCTGTTGTAATTCAGGAACAGAACAGTAATGCTCTAACAACTGTGTGTGTGTGTGCGTGTGCGTGTGGGGAACAGAACAGTAATGCTGTAACAACTGTGTGTGTGTGTGTGTGCGTGTGCGTGTGGTGGGGGTGAGGGTGAGGGTTGGTGTTGAGACAAACCCCTCTTGTTCCAAGTTTTCCAAAAACTCTGCGATTTCACGACCCCTTCGGTTCCTTCCCCTGTCCCTGATCTTCTCAAGAGCGCTGATGCTGTTCTGTCGGAAAAATGACTCGTGGTGTATCTCTGCTGCCATCATGTGGTAATCTACTGACCTGTCGCGGTCATTTCGGTCGAAGTTGAGAAACTTTGCATAGCTGTTATAAAGGACCTGTCTGTCTTCAGGTTCCAAATCACCTCGGAGCAGATCCTTATAGATCTCCTCGGCTCTTCTCACGTCACCTGTCTTTGCGTACACTGTTGCAAGGTCCATTTTCTTTACAAAGGACGAATGAGGATAAAGAACGATCACATCCTTGTGGAGAGCCATTGCTCTTTCGATCATCCTCTGCGTTGGTCGGCCATTTCTTGAAAATTTCAGCTTCCACTGGTAGCAGAGAGCGGCGCATCTTTTTAGATAACGTTCCTCTGCATGGTTTTCCAGAGCTTCTTCTGCCAATGCAATGGCCTCATCAATGAGGTCGTAGGTTCTGTATACCCTAAGGATAACTTTTAACCCACTGTAACAGCTGACGGGATTTCCCAAAATCTTTGTGGCCAACTCGCGTGCTTCCTCTTCGACGTGTTCTCCCCTCTCGGCACGGGCCTTTAGGTACACAGCAGCGAGATACAGGTTCTCTGGATCCTGTTCCATGGCCTCTCTTATCTCCTCCATCTTGGCTGCCGGTAGCCCTTCCCTGCTGTGCTTGTGGGTGTTCGTGAACCCTATGAAATAGCTACTCTGCCACTCCACTACATCTGGTTTTATTTCAATGGCTTTCTTGAATAAGTCGAGTGCCAAAACCTTTTGTGTTTTGCCAAACTTCAGGAGAGTCCAGGCCTTTTCACCATAGATTTCAGGGTGTAACTCATCCTGTGATGGAGTTGGATATTCTTTCATCAGGGCATCGATTTTTGACAAATAAACCTGCGCCTCCTCTTCTTCCCCTTGGTGGTGGCGTAGCCAAGCCTGATTAGCATAATTCACCGCCATCCAAGGACCCTGATCGCCTTGCTTTGTTTTGAGTAAGGCCTCTTCAGACTTGGTGAAGAACTCCCCGGCTTCGTCATTGTTTCCCAGCTTGAAGTGAATGTATCCGAGCAGGTTGTAAATTTGACCCAGCCAAGTGTTTCCCTCATCAGAACCAATGTCTATCAGATGTTCACTGATGCGTAAAAGTTTGGACGCTGTAGCATCCAGATTCCAGGTGAAGTGACACTGCAGATCCTCAAGTTTGGCCTTCAGTGTTTTAGTCTCAGCAGCACTAATAGGGAATAATGAAAAAAAAATATGATATGTATGAGAGGCTCGGTTAAATTATTTCAGTTATTTTCAAGGTCCACAGTGAAAGAATTAGAGAAATCAAATCGACAGAACAGAAAGAATACTT